ATTTTTACCTCCAAGTAACGACAAAAATGATTCCAAGCTGAAGTTGCAAGAAGGTTAATTCATTTTGTATGATATTTATATCCAGTGTCACAACAGTGGGAAAACAAAAGCCCACTGAGAGGACATTTGGTTACACGATAGTGAATAACCACAATGGTACAAAAGAGAGTTGTAGAGTTTTAGTTTTATTGCAAAATATTTGTTTCGAAATTTAAATGCTTGACACATATGTTCGATGCGAGGATGGGAAGGCCAGGACGGAAACGGCAGTGGACGCGCGAATCTTTCGGTAGTCCCGTCTTGTCGCCAAAGACTAACTGCTTTTTCAGTCGCATAGGACGGCGACGTCAATTACTCGAGCTACATGAAAGCTTCTCACAAAACCAATGACATCCTTTAGAGATGGTAGAAATCTTATCCTATTAAGCTTAAACCGTGGTGAACAGACGACGCTGAAGTTATCTTTATGTAAACTTACATGAAGCAAACATTCCTGATCTGTCAGTATTTTAGTAATAAAGAATCCAGAATTTCTGTATGACTTGAAATCTTATCGACTTGGTCCAGATGGCTTTTTGCCAGAAGAGCGTTTCATAATCCCGTCGAGGAATCCTGACTTAGGTAAATAGTTCAATTTCCATTTGTATTTGAAACAAGCATTTATAATGAAACAAACATTACGTCTAATTCCGGGTAGTATGAGAAATATGGGTTATTCACCTAGCGTGAGGTCAAGATGGCTGGATATCCAGCCATGTTGACATCAGGATTTATTATATGAGATAAAACACCAAAAAATGATCTTTGTACTTGTTTATCTTCGAGGACTGAAGGGAAAGCCAATTGCATGCAAAAATCAATGGCGTGTGCACCTTTATCCTGATTGGGTGAAAGCAGAAATACAAGCATTTGATTGGTTTACACTTTTGACGAGTAAATGTCTAACTACTGAATGGAATAACAAATGTACGAAACCGCTCGAAGCATTTTTTTGAACATCAAAAATGTCCCAAAAAGGCTTCAATTTGCAGCACTTAAGCTCTAAAGAAGATTTAACCAATAGAGCAAGACATGTTCATTTCATCTGCCCGTCGCTTTCCCGATCCATAGGCGCTTGGAAGAATTATTGCCCGGCTCTGTGGTGTTGAAAGGCTGTCGGATTCACCACACTCGAAGAGCTTGTCTTCCTCGGCCATGTTCTACAACAAGTTGTCGGCGTTTAGCACTTACACTGTAAAACCAGGAGCCATAATCGGGGACGGAGACCGCAAGTCTCGGGATTCGCGCGCACCTATGATATGGGA